GCTATCAACATGTTACGGTTCTCAAAATCCCTCCTGACTCTGAGGAACAACCAGAACAACAACCGATACACCGACAATTTCCAGTTTTGCCAAAGGTTGTGTCATGAAGCACGTTTTTTTGGTGAATTATCCACCTTAATGTCCAAATTTCCACCAAAACAATTTCCACTAGAACTATTTTGAGTGAACATCGTCTCTGCGTCTAATTCTTGTATCCAGCAAGACAATCGTGTTTGCTTTAAAGAAACACGCCAGAGCTGAATCATACTGAGGTGCAGTCAGACCATTCTGCACCGTTCTATGCAAGACTACTTCCACATTGGCTACATCCATCTCTTACATCCAGCCTATGATAAAAGCTTATACTGTTTGAATATTGAGGATTGGACAGATGTGAAAAGAAGTCTGCAAGCAAATGAGGGTCCAAGCAAAAAAAAAACAAAAAAACAGAGGGTTGTGTTTAATGAAGATTCATGTATCAGTGTTGTGAAGAGACAAAAGCAGAAGCATCTGCCTAATCATGCGACGCTGTGCTAAAGAGCTTGTTGAAGACTTAAAATCTCTTTACTTGAGTCCAACTAATCCCATCCTCTGCTCCCTCCAGGTGCACGCGCTCTACCGTACCACCGGTGCCAGCTTTGAGAAGGCTCAGCAGGAGTTTGCGACCGGCGTCATGTCCAACAAGACCGTTCAGACTGCAGCCGCCAACGCTGCTGCTAATGCTGCAACCAACGCCGCTCGCGGGGCCTTCAAACCTCATCCATAAACTGAGACACATGGGTTACACACACACACACACATAGACACACACACACAGACACTGACAAGATGGAGACGCACAACTCTGGCCCTGCTGGCTCTCAGATCAAGTTTATTTATGAATGTTACCGTGCTAAGATTGCTCTGCACACTGAAAAAGTGTCAAGTAAAATAACAAAACAAGTGACCAGAGTTGTCCGTCTTCACTTCAAATCATGTATCAGTACAAAAATAAACACAAAAAAAACTCTCCTACATCCTTCCTGTCTGCTTTTCAGTCAGGTGACTTGTCTGCTCACATCCCTGAAAACATCCACCAAGTGACTGGAGGACGTGCTCTGAGTGTGTGTGTGCGATCTCGTCTCTCACACGCTCACACACTCCTTCGCTTCCCCTCGTTCTTCTGTCCCCTTGAGGTGATCCCAGGTCAGGCAGAGGTCGCAGTTCTAGCATACCTTATTTTTGTCATGGTGATGACCTCCTAACAGCTTCCTGCCTGATAACTACAGTGTAGAGTCATGAAAAGTCTGATCATGGTGGTTTTTGCACATAGTTCTGTTTTTCCTCGCCCACGTACTGGAAGTGTGTGTGTGAGTGGCTGGGCCTCTGTGCGAATGAGCGCTTCACTTTAAGATAATTGTGGCTCTGACTTTTGTTTTTTTTTATAATCATTGAGCTCTCAGAGGTAAATTGTACCTATATCAGTGCTTCTATCGTGAGACAAATACCATTATGGTAAGACTTCATATAAATAGGAATATGTCTGTATGTTCTTATTTAAGGACCCGCCCCCCTCCAGCGACACCTGTCAGTCAAACATTTACTCCTGCTCTGTGTGCTCCTTTGATCGGGCTGGTTCAGCATCTCTAGATTTGACAGCATGAAAGCATGTTCAGCACACTGCAGGGAGCCAAGTCATTCTGTCCACTGCCTTTTTTTTTTTTTACCAGGCTACATAGAGGAGGGGAGCTGGTTTTTTGAGGGGAGGGATGTCTGCCCACTTATTCTCTCCTCAGTTTGAAGTGATGGCACGTCCCAGTGGATGCTGGACTAATGATGATGGCTCAGCTCTTCCTGGCCTGGTGTACTAAAAGGAAGAGAGGGGGGGAGGTTAGAAACATTTTCCTTTATCTACATTAACTATGTGGCTCTCCCTCCGTTGTTTTTGTAGCTCTTCACACTAACGCTGCTATGAATACGAGAGACGCTCCTGTTGAGAGAGAGCTGACCTGCCTTTTCTCACAGAACTGGACGGTGATTTTGAGCGACAATTATTTCTGTGAGTTTAACCTGCATACATGGAATAGTAATATGCGCACTCCATAAGCTAACAGTCGGTTCCCGTTGATCTTTCTCTCTCGGTGGTTACTGACAGATTACTGAAGTTTTATAGCCAAACTGAACGTTAACATACCAGAGGATTGGACTCGAGACACATTCAGTGATATCACGATGGTACGTTGATGTATATCCAGTTCTAACAGTGTTACTCAGCAGCACTAAGTTGTACAGAGTTACTGTCACTGAAGTGAAATATGGACGTGGGCTTACATGTTTTGTTCTCATAGTGGTGGTGATTGTGTGACGACGTGCATGATAAGATGACTGACGCCTGCTGTTACCGCAAATGTACATACTGAGCATCGGGGTGGACGAAATACGAGCGTGTTAGGAAGCTGAGGGTCATGAAAAAAAAAAACAAGCCTGCATCTCAGCAGTATTTTTTGTTTTTTCCTTTTCGTTGAATCGTTTAAAATTCGTTGCACATTTCTTGTTTTACGTTAGTGCAGAACAAAAAAAAACATGTTTTTATTTATGGTTGTAATTTAAGTTTGGTTTGACTTTTATGTTCTTTTTTTGTTTGTGTGGTTTTGTAACGACACGGTCGAAGCATCAGCTAGACTTAAAAAAAAAACAGTGTTCAATGACTTTGCAACTTGACCCTGCAAGAGGTGTGCTTGTTGAATGAGAATGTGTGTATATGATTGGTATGAAAGAAGAATAAAAAACATCTCCCTCAAGTGTTATTCTATGTCCTGAAAAGCTGTGAGAAATCTACCAAATGTCCATATGGATTTGTTTTCAAATCTCGGTTTGTGATGTGTTCCCTTTCCACGTTTTACTTTGAAACACAACTTTTCTTTGCCACATGCGCCCACACGACTCCCATGTACCTATAGTTGCTATATGAAGCCATGCCACCGTGGGTCATTCCTTGATGTATTTGGCGAGCTGGTTCCGCAGTGCAGAGCGACGTGTTTGAAGTTTGCTGACACAAAACTGTGTGGTTTTTTTTTTTGGCCTGTGACCATGTTATTTCACTGAATCAGAGAAGAAGCTCATCCAAAAGGGACACTTGTATATTTTGTAAAGTTGAAAAATTTGATCCCCATTATCAATCACATGTAAAAAGAAAAAGTAATGCACTCTCGTCTGGCCTTTGTCGCATGTGAAATAGTTTGAGTTTTGTATATTTATGGTATTAACATGAAATAAAATTTGAAAGAAATATTCGTGAACTCGTTTTGTTGTTTGTCTTCATCCATCCATCCATCATCTA